TATTGCCCATCTACTAAGGACTCTGTTGTAGGGCTGTGGAGATAAGAAGGTGAATGAAATAAAACTAACGCTCAGACAGTTTACTCTCTAGTAAAAGATATAAAGTTGGTAAACAAATAACTGTAAAACAGGTGAGTAGCAAACGTCTAAAGGGCCAGGTAGGTAGCCAACCTCAACAAAGTGAGCTAAGCATGAGTGTAACAAAGTCCCGGAAATGCTACCATACACATATCTTAAAGCACCCATAAATACATATGCTATCCATATTCTATTTTATACTAAAAATTTTTTAAATAACTGAAAAAGAAGACATTTAACTATTACTATTTTTTTCATAATTTAGTACTGCTTTTATTTGGGATCAAACACCTGACCTCTTTTATTCTGTACCAAAATGCCAGTCAGACCCCGTATTTTGCACTGTGCTGTATGGTATACACCCGTAAATACTTAAACTGGGGTTGGTAAGTAGTTTTATTCAGATTCCCTTTTCAGATTCATATTTCTAAAAATAAGCTCTTCCCAGCATGGCTAGAATTATTGTAAATGGCTCCTGTAAGTAGGGTGTTCTCCTCTAAAATCTGTGTATGGTGCTGGCTTTCGATGTTGTGATGCTTAGTCTTCAATAGCATTTTGTACTACAGTTTAAGTACTTCAAATCATAGTCCTTCATTTGTGCAATCAAAAATTAACTACGAGACCTGTGAGGTGTCATCCTGCAGAGCTAAAGGTTGCCGGTTAGACTCCCAGTCAGGGCATATGCCTGGATTGTGGGCTCAGTCCCCAGGTAGGGCGCGTGCAAGAGGCAACCAACTGATGTTTCTTTCTCACATTGATGTTTCTCTCTCACCCTTCCTTTCCTTCTAAAAATGAATAAATAATTTTTTCTCACATTAATTGGCTTTATTATATTTTACAGCTAATAGTTTTTTATAAATGCAATGTTGCATTTAGTTCGAATCTGGTATTCAATAGACCACGCTGTTTTAATACATTTGTTACACTTAATCAGAACTGAAAGTTCTTTGGGAAATATATTTCCAAAACCCCATTAATCTGTAAATGGTTAATGCAGTTAAGATTGATTTTGAACTAATACTTTTGCCTATTTAAGAAAAGACTTTGCATCAGTCAAGCTTTCTTAATTAGTAATACGTTGCTTCTTTTCTTTATTCACTTCAGAGATAAGATCTTAGGCCATAGGAATTTTTAAAAATTTACTGTTGTTCAGTTACAGTTGTCATGCCTTTTCCCCCATTGCTCACCCCTTCCCCCGCCTCAGTCAATCCCCGCCATTGTCTGTGCCCATGGGTCCTTTATTCCTGTTCTTTGCTTGCCCCTTCACCTTCTTTCCCCCATTATGCCCCTCCTCCACCCTTCTGGTTACTGTCAATTTGTTCCTTATTTCCAAGTCTCTGGTTCTATTTTGCTCATTTGTTTGTAGGTTCCACTTATAGGTGAGATCATATAGTATTTGTCTTTCACCGCCTGGCTTATTTCACTGAGCATAATGCTCTCCATTTCCATCCATGCTGTTGCAAAGGGTAGGAGCTCCTTTCTTTCTGCTGTGTAATATTCCATTGTGTAAATGTACCACAGTTTTTGATCCACTCATTTGCCTATGGGAACTTAGGCTGTTTCTAGCACTTGGCTATTGTAAACAATGCTGCTATGAACATTGGGGAGCATGGGTTCTTTTGACTTGGTGGCTCAGGATTCTATAGTCCCGGCAGTGGGATCGTTGGATTGAAAATCTTTAAAAAATTAATTAAGAAAGTTAAACTAAACAATGTTGATTTATTTTCATAAAGTTTGAAATCCAATATTCAATGGCCCAGTTGCAAAGAATAAATTTCAGACCATCAATTTCATTTCTGGAAACTGACTGTAGTGTAGGAAAGTGGACAGAATTATTCTTTAACAACTGAATTTCCCGAAGACTCTATTTTGTCAGGACGGAGAGAAGCAAATAAGATATGATGCAAATATTTGTGAATGCCCCTATAGAAAAATATTCACAAAGTGTAGATGGGTTGTAATGTCAGCAAGAAACCTGGAACTTCCAGCCAGTCTTTGCTGCTAAGTGCAGATAGGACTACTCCCTTTGACAACATGAACCGTTTTTAAAAATCCCCACCATCTCAGCACAAGTAAGCCAGCGGATTCATCACGCAGACACTGACCTGATTCTGCTCCAAGATATAGAAGAATGGCTGATTCATGGTGTTAATTACTGAATTCATGGCTTGTCTCATTTTAGCTTTTTAGCCCAAAGCAATATCTGATGAATGAGAAAATCGATGGACTTACAGACTCCAATATTTAGTGCCTCTACCAAACACTGCCCCCTAGGAATCTGATGCTTGACAGGTCCAATGCCAGCCCCACCCTTTGTGAGAGTCCTGTCTGCAGATAACACATAATTTGGACCAGTGCATTCTACACCCACTGGTCTGAGACATTTCTCATCACAAAGTAAGCCATTTCCTGATGTTTTGCCTTGTAGGATTTCTTATTCAAAAATTCTTGGACCTCTCCAAAATTCTCAAAACATCGCAAAAAAACATAGCTAACAGGGTGCTATTATTTATATCTGTGTCCTCATTTGCTGCAATAGAAAACGCCACCAATAATTTAACTTACCCAGAAAGTTTTCAAACATATTTTTAACATGCTGAACTACAGTGTTTCTGGTTATACTAAAATTTGCAAATGCTTGTTTATTCCCTGGAGACATCATCATTTCTGCTGCATTCAAAAGAGACTCTTTTATAAAAGCATTGTCTGTAAAATGGTTTTGATGCCCCTGCAATTTTTTCACTTAATAGAGAACTGCATTTCACAGCAGATCACTTATTTTACTCTCATCCAAATACAAACGCTGCCATTTCTCCAGCTCATTAAGTTCCTCAACACCCATCTTTTCTGTACACCAGTCATGGTGCCTTAAGTTGTAAATTTTTTGTGCAAATAGTCTTCATTTTTATGTTCTTCACATCCACCAAAAAGAAGGAAGGAAGGAAGGAAGGAAAGAAGGAAGGAAGGAAAGAAAGAAAGAAAGAAAGAAAGAAAGAAAGAAAGAAAGAAAGAAAGAAAGAAAGAAAGAAAGAACACTCCTATTTTTTTCTTGAAATACTCAACTGTGTGTGTGTGTGTGTGTGTGTGTGTGTGTTAGGAGATACACAAGTTAATTTTTCTTTTAATTTTACAATAAGAAATAGCAATAAACATGTGGTAAGAAATAACAACTGCATTTGATTTCAGTGTTAGAAAATACAAAGGAATGCATGTGGACTTTAACTGTGAAGGGCGTGGCCAACCATCTGTTGTTAAGGGAAACTGGAAATCAAATATTTGAAAGAAAAATTTCCTCATTATTTAATGTTAATAATGTATTCAAAATTTATTAAACCAGCGAACGGGTCGACATTGTTCTAGTCTGTAAGTGAGTGCAGCTTTTGGGCTGCACATCTGCAACCTCCGGGGATATAGAGTGTAATAGTCAATTAATTTCTAGCTTACCTTTATTTCAGTCTCTGGGAACTAGGATAAAAGGTACAATCAACATTCTATGAAGTATGACATTCTAGTGCCATAACTGATCTGAAAATACTCTAAAGGCAGTGAGATGCAGTAAAAAGTATATCCCTCTTGAACTTAGGCAAATGTGGGGAATCCCGGGTATTTCACTTATTGGTTGGTTGACATTAGAGTTCTCATTTGGAAATAGGAATAATAACATTGCCTTGTCGTTTGTCAAAATGATATGAGTATGCGAGTTTTTCAGCATATTGTTGGCATTTTGGAAGGTGTTCCATAAGTGGTAGCTATGACTGTTGTAATGAAATGAAAAATGTTTCCAACAGCATTTCTTTGCCCCACAAATGTGAACTGTGCCCAGGCTGCTCTCACGCCTGCCACCCCTTTCTCTGCATCATGTTTCCTCACTCGGCCTAATGGCCCACGTCACAGCTCATCAGCACACTCTCGTTTCTATCTCCTTGCCCCACCTATGCTCATACCTACAGCTGAATGCCTGTCCCTTTCTTCTTTGTTCAGTTACCTCCTTTGTGATTCAACCAAATTGTCACCTCTTCTACGAAGTCTTTCTTGAGTGCCACATCCCTCCAGTCTAGGGAGAGTACTCCCTCGCTTACTGAAGCCTTGTGTTTGCCTCAGGGGGAGACGCTGGTTCAATCACTTCATTGTCCCTACCACCTGGGTGTAATGTTTTTCCCTGGCATGTAATTAGGGCTCAAAAAAAAAAAAAAGGAGCAAGGAGGGAAGTGACTGTATACTGGAGTGGCAGAGCCCAGGCAGGGTCCGCTTCCCATCTACTGCACAAAGACAAGCCTGGCTGCTGGTTATGCCTCTCTTCCTTGCCTTCCCAGTCCTCACTCCAGCTACTGCCCCCACGCCAAGCCCCAAACCAATGGAGATTTCCATTCTGGATTAGCAGGTCACAACAGAGAAGGTAGTTAAGTGTCACCTACTGGGACTTGGAAGTGAGGACTGGAAAGACATTAAAGAGGGCTCCTTTTGAAAAGTAAAAGGGAATATGTAACAAAGTCAATTGTCAGAGACAAAGAAGGAAAGAACCATAATCCAAAATCTTACCTTCACTTTCAGAACTGGTGGCTCCTTCGCCAAGTAAGAGCAAGAATGGGCGTGTAGCCAGAGCAGACATGGTAACACTGCAGTCTTGCGCACTAGCATTCACGGTCCTCTACCAGAAGAGAAAGACCCTGTGAGACTGGGCTGTTCTAATATGGTGCCCGTGAGTGAAGAAAGGGCATCTTTTCCTCCAGGGACCTGCAGGTACCTCCTGGATAGTTTAGTGACAGGAGAATGGGCTGGACTTCAGCCCCCAAATGCCCCCCATCCAGCTACCTTCATAAATAACCTATGAAGTAGTCTTGTTGTAAGAAAGTGTTTCTTCTCATTATATACATATTTGAAAAATGATTATAAGTAATGTGCAAATATTTAATCTTTTCTAGGAACATGGGTGACATTTGGAGGTCAAATTTCAGATGAGGTAAGTTATTTTTGTCTTCTGTTATGCTGATCAAAGAAAATATAGAGGGAGTGATACAGTAGGGTATTCTTCCTGAGACTCTGGCATTTAACAAGGATAATGGTTTAATTACAGAAAATGGTTAAGATTGACTCAAAGATTATTTTCAATTTTATCTTGAGTCTTGTATTTTTCACATTTAGACTATTAATCCTGGAGACTGTCAACATATTATATTGTGCCGGCTCAGTAGATAGGGAAGGAACCAGTCTGGAATGAATATTAGTTACTTTACAGGAAGATTTTATTGCCATTGATTGTTTGTTTGTTTTACCTGTACCTAGAGTGACCAACCTGGTCCCTGTTTGCATGGACTTTCTCATTTTAGCATGGGACCTCGCAGTCCTGGGCAAACCAGGGCAGGTGGTCACCATGGCTTGGGCTAGTTAATCCAATCACTCTGAGTCTCAGTTTCTCCCATGTAAAATGGGACAATAATGTGGATCTTCACGGTCTGTGGAAAGAATTAACCATGTTATGCATGCCAGACATTTCTACAGCCTTTTGACTAGTAGGTAGCAGACAATAAATGGCACCTGTAATAATTATATTTACTATAAAAGTCCTTTAAATGTTTATTTTCAGCTTCAAAACAGTGCTTATCGAGGTGATATTCTTATCATTGGATTTCAAGAATACCTTCTTGTGAAATCTTACTATTTGTGACAGCATGGATAGATCTAGATGCAGGGGTGTCCATCCTGTGGCTGGCAGGCCAAATGTGGCCCAGGATGGCCATGAATGAGGCTCAATACAAAATTAAGTAACTTTACTTAAAACCTTTTTTTTGCTCATCAGTTTTCTTTAGTGTTTGTGTATGTAACGTGGGGCCCAAGACAACTCTTATTCTTCCAGTGTGGCCCAGAGACGCCAAAAGTTTGGACATCCCTGATAGAGGATATTATACTAAGTCAGTCAGAGAAAGACAAATACCATATGATAGAACAATTTAAAAACAAACAAACAAACAAATTGAAGCAGACTCATAAATACAGAGAACAGAATGGTGATGGCCAAAGGGGAGGGGTGTAGGGAGACTGGGTGAAAAATGTGAAGGAATCGAGAAGTACAAATTGGTAGCTACGAAATAGTCATGGAGATGTAAAGTACAGCATAGGTGATATAGTCAATAATATTGTAATACCTATGTAGGATGCCAGGTGGGTACTGGAAATATCGGGGAAACACTTTGTAAAGTATGTAACTGTCTAACCGCTATGCTGTATACCTGAAACTAATATAAAATAATATTGAATGTAAACTATGATTAAAAAATAAAATTTTAACAAAAGGAATACCTTCATGGCATAAGTGAGCTAAGATGATGATGCCCAGAAGGCCCTCCAACCCTCCCTGGCCTGCCTGCAGCGCCACCGAGGAGTCAGGGGTGGTGTGTCTGAGTGGGCAGACTCAGTGGGATCCAGCCCACTCTGCCACCGACTAACCGCATTTACTAACATCTACTAACAGCTGCCATATCAGTGAAACGCAGATGGTGGCCCCTGCTCAGGGGGATCATGGTTGAGATTAATGAGGCTGATGCCTATAAAGTGCTGAGGCCAGCGCCTGGCCCAGAATAAGCCCTTTGTAAAGGTAGTTTTTACTATCATTCCCCAGCATTATTTAATAGATCCAGGAGGAGAAGGCTTATCTGCACATTCTTACCCATATGAATTGCCTGTGCCCAGTATTGGGCATAGGTCATCATAGAAAGCTTGTCACACAGGGGATTCCTTGAGAAGCAGACCCTGAGATGGAGATGGGCATGCAGAACAGTATTAGGAAATGATCTCAGAATTAACACATGGCAGGGGAGGAAGCAGAATTGGGCAGACAGTGAAACTAAGCCATGAGGCAGTCTCAGCAATGACCTCACGTGACCCCGTGGTGAGGTCCAAAGCTGAGGTGGCCGTGCAGAATTGCCCCAAGTTGGGGCAAAAGAACTGAGCAATTACATCCCTCATCCAACAGTCATTAAATAGGGGCTGTCCCGCGAAGCAGGTCTGACGTTGGGCTAGGCAACTCTCTTTAGCCAAATGCAATTTCCAGAGAGGGCTGATAGCTTGTAGGCCAAGACTCCTTGCAGCTACGGAAATAAGTCCTTCAATTCTGAAGGAGGATCTGGGTGCCCATCACAGGGTCCGTTGCAAAGCCCTCTGACTGGCATCAGGTAGGATGTATCGGGGAGGCACAGAGGCAAGTCCACAGAGAACAGAGTAATGACTGCAGACTCATATACAAAAGAGGTGACAGGTGGGGAAGGAGGCATAAAGTTAATAATCCATTATACCCAGCATGTGCATAACCTACTGCCTGGTATGGTGTTTGGAAGGGAAAAGACAACAATACCTTCCCTTTCAGAGCAGAGGGACCTACTGTAAGTGCATCAATTTCCCCTTCATCCTTGCTCTGCCATTCCCAGGGCCTGCCACTGCTGCAGTGAGCCCAGCCTTGCCCAGGTGAGAGTGTGCAGGGCTGGCCTCTGAAATGAATCATCTCAAAATTATCAAGTGGACTCAAATGTGAACCTAGACAGTGCTGTGGGGTGCCTCCCAAAGATGATTTGGCTTCATTATAAAGCTAAACTGATGTTATTCATATGACTAATACTTTTAAGTAAGGATAAGAGTGTATTATCATCTTATAGCACCTAGTTTTCAGAGTTTTACTTATATTTTCTCATCTGTAAGGTGGTTACGGTTCCTTTAATCACAGGTAACAATAAACTCAACTCAAGTTGGCTTAATCAATAAAGGAAAAAAATTATTTTAATTTTCACACTAGAAGTGGAGACCTGAAGCAAGCTTTGGGGTTGACTCAATCAGTGGCCCCCACTCGATTTCCCAGAGATTCTCTTGGCCTCTGTGCATGAGCTTCAATCTCAGGTAGTAAGAGAGCCATGGGAATTCTAGGCCTCCATTAGAATAATAACTCCAGGAAAGAGAGGAGAGGTGAGCTTCCCCTGGGCCTCTGGGCTCCTTGGGGACCTGAATAGAATCACCCTCATTTTGCAGATGAAAAAACTGAAATACAGAGAGTTCAAATGACTTGCCCAAGTTTATTTATCCAGTAAGCGGTACGTTCAAGACCAGCAGTTGGTGTTCTGACTTAGTTCTGTGATTTCATTATGTCACGTTGGGGTCTTCAAATGCTATGTTTGGTTGGGAAACATCTCAGCAATCATTTAGTCTCACCTCTATCTTGGCGTCTCTGTCTTATTTAAAGTCTCTCTCTGTAAAAGATTTATTGTTTCCCAATAATAATCTAACAGTACGTCATGTGATATAGCATAAGGCCAATATTATAATGCAAGCATAATCATTTCTTAAACACAGAATAGTCACTCTGAAAAGACTGTATTTGTCTTAACTTTTAATCTTTATTTATGGTAAATGTCATAATGGTGAAAAATTAAAAGCAGTGATAGCTTTTAAAAGTAATAGCACTTTTGCTGCTATTTTTCTAAAGGATTTGCAGGGATCCCATTTTGCTAGCCTAACAATTTTCTTGGTTGGCCAATTTGAAAAACAGGAAAATAGTTTATCTTAGAAATGTTGATGAAGCAACTTTAGCCCACAATCAAAAACATAATGGAAAAATCAATTTTAATTATTTGTGAGGTGTGTAGTTTCTCAATTGACTAATAAGTCTAAATGAAAAAATGGCCACTCTCCACTGCACTTTACAGCTATTCCTCTATAGTTGTCCCTATGGTCTCATCACTCCTCCCACTTGCAATCAGCAGCACAGAGGAAGGGGCAGGAGCCTGGAGGTCTGTTTCCAGGCTGACAAGGGGGAGCTGGATCCTTGTGCCTCACCCCCTGCTGTGTGTGCCATGTGGATGCAGCTGGCTGGCCTCTCTCTGATCCTGCCTGGGGATTTGCTGAGATGTGCAGGCACAGTTCTGTCTAACCTTTGGCTCACCAGAACAATCTGCTGAGCCTTGAGGAAAAAAGGCACAAACTTTTAAGTCACGAGTCACCCAGGTGCTGCAACCTATTGGCTTAGAAAAAGGAGACAAGAAATGGAGTTGGCTGCAATACAAACGATCCTCTCTGTCAGAGAGATTACGGTGTCAGAGAGATTACGGTGTCAGAGAGAATGTTGTCAAACCAGGTCTTCTAAGCAGAGACAGAAACAATCCTTCCACTTCACTGTGCTCCTGACAAGGCTGCCTTATCCAACCCTATACATGCTGGCTGAATCTTCTTGTTTTCTTTCTTTACTACAACTGAGAAAAACACGGAGCGGTTAGTAAAATGTCAGCGTTCTTAAAGACCATTAAAGGATTCAAAATTGCTTGCCACTTTGGAAAGCATTTGGCTTTTCTGACTGACCTTCACATCCTCCTGCAGGTCGCTGAACGACTGATGACAATTGCCTACGAAAGTGGAGTTAATCTCTTTGATACTGCCGAGGTCTACGCTGCTGGAAAGTAAGTGGGTACCTGTTTGTGTCCCTCAAGTGGCGTTCCTAGAACCAAGGGACTCTGCCCAAACCATCGCTGACATGCTGGTGAGAAGGTTGGCCTTTGCCACACATGTTGACGGCATTGCTTTTCTCCCCTCTTCCACCACCATCACCAAGGCTCAGTGCTGTGGACCGTCTCTGGACCCCTCTGCCCACCCAAACCTTCCCAGCTCGGGTCCCTGTATGAAGGATGGGCTGGAAGCAACTGCCGTGGTCTGCATGAGGCACAGAGGTGGCCAGGACCAGAGCAGTGGCGGTGGAGATCAATAAATGTTAGTTCAATATATGAGTGAGCAAAAAAAAAGAGCAGATTCCAGCATGGTTGTTCAAAGGCTAGTCTTGTTATTTCATAACCACGTCTCAGTTTCTCAACCCCGGAGGGAAACTGGGCCGTTCTCTCTGCAGGGAAGCAGGAACTAATTTTCCTGTGTGCAAGCTTATCCCTCACCATAGCATTAAAGGTAGATCAGAGATTAAAGGAGGGATCCCCAGAGATGCCAAGAAATCCAGTATCCTTTAGAAGAGAGCATTTCAGACCCCAGTCAGAGGACAGAGAAGGAGGCTGCAAAGAGGCCTCTCTTCTTTTGCTGGAGAAGTCACATCTAGCTACAACCTTCCCCGGGGACTCAAAAGCTGGTTTGGGCTCTAGGACAGGGCACTTCCGAACTCAGAACACACAGGTGATATGACCTGACCTCAGCAGGCCTCAAGGTCCATGTCCTCTGGGTTCCAGCACAACAGGCACATTTTAGGACAGCAGGAATACCTTGGCCTCCTGCTGTGAACAGGGACGCAGCTGCAAGAGCTGAAAGGAACTAAATAGCTAGACAGCGGCTGGAGCAGCTCTGCAATTTGCTAACGGGGCTGTGGTACATAATCACCTGCAGGCCTAATGACCCCCTTCCAGGTGGGGATTACAATGAAAATGCTGGTCCTGCTGAGTCAGGTTCAGCATTGCCTGGTCGAAGTGCATTTCCCTTGCGTGTGTTTCCTCCTTGTCAAGGGCAGGTCTGTGTTTAGGGACAGTCAAGGAGGTACAGAGCCCACATCCCTGCTGTTTTCTGTTGAGTCCAAGGAGAGAAAATATAAGTGGATAAGGCCTTGCTCCTTTCAACATTGTACCCTTTCTCAGAGTTTTCTTCTTTTGTTGAATCCTACTCAAAACCAAATGAAGCTAAGGTGGAAAAAGGGAGGGATGATGAACCAGTTTGTTAGAGTTCTGTTTGTATTCCCACTGTGAAGAATAATCAGCCCTGGTTAATTACTGATTGATTGTCAGTGTATAACTGAGATAGGTTCCCACCGTGAAAAGCAAGGTTGCAAAAGGCAACCATCAGAGAAACAGAAGGGGAGGAGGCAAAGAACACTCTGGAACATTCAGTACATGTCTATTTGGGGTGTGCTCCATAGCAAATGGCATCATGGCTTATTGCCAGGCTCCTAAAAACACTCCAACAAAAATGGATCTCTCAATCACGACAAATGATTAGCGATAACTCCCATCTATGGGACCTTAATAGACAAAGTGTTAATTTCATTGATGTCCCCATCCACAAAAGCTCTGAGAGCACAGCTGTTTCTCACAAGTTGGTCTTACTGGGGGTGACCTAGAAGAAAGTATCAGTCTCCTCAAGCTTCAGTCCCAGCTGGGCTAGGTAGCTGGGGAGAAGACAGTTGGAATGCCTTTGGTATACCTCTCCATGGCCGAGCCTTAGGTGCAGGAAGGACACTTCTCTATGCCTCCTTATGTCCTGCTTCTATGATAGTGCTTGTCACTGGATCCTGGGATATTCTCTATGTGGGCCACTGCATCTGCAGCCCTGGGTCTGGCCCATCAAAACCCATACACGGACTTCTTTTTCCCGCAAGATCTCGTGGGAGTCAATATTGTCCGTCTAAATAGTACTAGGTCTCACTGTCCTCAGTCACAAGTGGAAACCATGGCAAATAGAAGGAAAACCTTGACTCCCCTTGGACACAACTAAGCAGGACATTTATAGATGACATCAGTGGTTTAAAAACACCCAACTGCCAAAGGACTCCACTGTTTCCCAGTATCAGGACCACAGGGTGGTCTCTTGCCAGCACATCAGGATTTGGCAGGTGCTCCCGGAATGCTCTGGAGCAGGATTCTGCAGGCGCAAGCAGAAACAGTGGAAACTGTGCTACCAGCCGAGAGAAGCTTCTATTTTCGGGACATGGAGGCTCTGAGAGTTCAAACAAGGGATGGCTCTGGTGTTTTGGATTGACTCTTGTGTTTCCAGGTCACTGTACCCTAAAACATGATCTGTTTCCCCCTCCAGGGCTGAAGTGATTCTGGGGAGCATCATCAAGAAGAAAGGCTGGAGGTAATACATTCATTGTCATCATGTACCTGCCTTTAAAAAGACAGTCATTATTTTGTACCAGAGAAGGGAAAATAAAATTGGATGACAACTGGCCAAAAGTTTGTCCAATAAAGTCAACTCTTAGTAATGAAATGATTTACAGTGGTTTGAGAATAATACCAGCAGGTTCCTTAGTTGTGCTTCAACCCTTATTGACCAGTCATTAATCACAATGAATTACCATGGGGTTGAGCTGAGGAAGAGGGAATGTTCAGGAGGTATTCATCCGTGAAGGAAAGGGATGCTTTCATGGCTCTGACTGCCATTTATGGTACTTTGGTGAAGGAAGCCACCTGACAGAAAGCTGATTATTTATACACACCTATTTATTTGCACTGTTCTTTTTATTCACAACACTGAATGCAAAGAAATGATGGAATAAGAAGCCCTTGGGATAAATACCCCAAAGCTTTATCTGCCAGTGTCTCCCCTGTGTCCAGGGAACCGTGTCGTCTGGGCATTCAAGAAAGTGCTTCAGTTGCTGTCCTTGAGTGGTCATGTCCCACCCCATCTCCTTCTGTAGCCAAAGCTAGTGCTAATAATGGGTACCATAATATCTGAGGGGTTGGATAGCTCCCTCCGTTTCACACGCTTGTCAGCTCCGATACGTACTTCTTCCCCGGCATGAGTACAGAATCAGACAAAGCCCAACAAAGACTAGTGGCAAAGTTTGGGGTCCTCTTCTGCTCTGGTATAATCTCTACTGATGGCCAAATAAATAACAGTTCAATAGGAGTAGTGAAACAGCTATTCAAAGTGAACTCTGCACCATGCATGTATACACAGCTTATATAAAATTTAGTCTAGGAAAAAGGGACGTTCTCCAAGAGTATAGCTCAAGACTGATTGCATTATGCCTCCCCACAAAGCATTTAAACTTCCTCTGGAGCGGAAACTAGAAAGGTAGAACAGAGCTCCATGTATTCTTAGGGCTGCTATCTCATCACTCTTAGAGAAACATCGAGTAGGAATAGAGGGCTTTATGGAACTAGAAAACCAGAAATGTATGGAGTTGTCAACAAACAAATTTTGGTGACCTACTTTTGCCCTCTCACTTCTCTTCCTCCCCAGGGACTGTAAGGGTGTTAAGAAAGAAGAGTATTCAGCATTAAATGTGGAAAAAACTCATGCTCCCACATCCAGTTCTCACCTTGCCTGAGTTACCTTCCTACTCAGTATGTTGGTCCATCCACCGCTGCCCAAAGAGGGACTGTGTCGATTTCCTAGGGCTGCTGTAACGAAGTGCCATAAACTGGATGGCTTAAACCAACAGAAATGTATTCTCTCACAGTTCTGGGGGCCAGAAGTCCAAAAATCAAGGTTTGGGTCGAGCCACGCTCCCTCTGAAACTCTGGGTAGAATCCTTCCTTGCCTCTTCCCAGCTCCTGGGGGGTGCTGGCAAGCGTCGGCGTCCCACGGTGCACACATAGCTCTTCAGCATCTGCCTCTGTCGTCACAGGGCTTTCTTTCGTCGTGTGTGTCTGTGTGTCTTCTTATAAGGACACCAGTCACACTAGATTAAGGGCTCACCATTCTCATCTTAATTTATACTTAAAAAAAAAAGTACAACCTCATCTTAATTTAATTAATTAGGTGTGCCATGATCCTACTGTCTAATCAGCTGACATTCCGAGGTGCTGGTGGTTAGGACTTCAGTGACATGTCTTTATGAGGGGCACACGCCAACCTCTAACAGAGACCTTGGAGAGGAGTCCATTAGTAGTCCAGTGAACTCTGCACCAAGGGGTAGGTGACCAACTACACCTGAGAGAGGAAGGAAGCATCAGCACTGTGGCTCCTGCCCCATGGACGCCACAAGAGCACTTACCCATCACTCTCCAGAGTTTACAGGGCCTATTTATGCCTACAAGAAAGTAGATTCACCTGCAACTTCCACAAACTGCCTTTCAACCTTGTAAATAAAAGCTCAAGCTATCACCAGTCCACAGAATAATGATGTCCATTCACTGCTGCCCCCAGAAAGCTGGTGAGAAGATAAACTATATTATCATAGCATGGAGTCTCTAAAAGCAGTTTCTACTGGAACATATGTGGCTTCTAGTCCCAGTACCACCACTTGCCTAGCTGTGCTGTCCAGGACAAGTTACTCCCCTTCTTTGAGTCTCAGTTTCTCCACCTATAAAATAGATGTCATAGCTGTTCAAAAAGTATCATGCTGGTAAAGTGACATGAGGTGGGCAAAAGCATTTAAAGGCCGTGCTATATCAAAGTAAAACATTCCTATTATTCTTTACCCATTCTAAATGCCTCTGTGAAATTAGAGATAATTTGCCAGGTTGCTGTCTACTCTTGCTGTTTGACCATTAATGTTTGTGTGCACACCCACATAGGCCCAATATTTTGCAAAAAAAACCTAACTTGGGAAGAATAAGTAAGTCTATGGCAGTCATATTTGAGTAGAATGTGCTGCTCTGGTAGGCCCAGATGCTCTGAATAATCAAGAGGACTGCATCCTTTTTAAAATAATATTTCATCCAGCCTTTTATTGACATTCTGAAAATGTTTGCTAAGGGAGACCTAGCTCCCTCCAGCAGATCACTACTATACTAGGTCCCGTGAGGTTTGAGGATCAACCTGGGAAGTGCATCAGCTTGCCTGGGTGTGTTACCCCCAGATGCTTGCAGCTGTAGACCTTCCATTACAGTGATTCAAACTACTATTCAGAGAATTATCTTTGGTGGGACAGGGTAGTTGATATTTTCTACAAATCTTTCTTGTTGCAGCCAAGTTGTCAGAATTGTCACATCATTCTCCATTGGTTATCACTAACCATACAAGGCTTTTGTACCTGAAGGTGCTGATGTGTCACTGCTACAGGTGATGAAATTACATAAATGCCTTATTGCAAATACTCCCAAAGTTTGGTCTTAACCTTTGAGTCACAAATGATTTTTTTTTTCTAGAGGAGTTCAATTGAATTACACACCTGGAGAAACTAAACTACACCAAAATCTGCTTCCCAATTGTGAATTGTATGACTATAGTTCTCAAGACATTTTTGTTACTCCATGATCATGATGGAATTTCCTCCACTTCGGTGCAGTTTTGAGGAAATAATATGTTTGCTGACAGGATGTCCACATTTTATTACCTTAAGAGTAAGGTGGTAAAACTTCAAGTTAAGGATTTGGGGACTGTTTTCCTGAAATAACATTTCCTTTCAATAAGACACTCACAGAAATTTTATTCCTACTTATTGACCATTATAATTTACTTCATCATTCATATCTCCATGTAGTCAATTTCTGCCTGTGAATGGGATGGTTAGAAAGGGGAGTGACTCAGAGCCAGGAGGTCCATGGAGGGTGGACTTACCCCAGGAAAGTTCACGCTCCATCGAGATTATGTCAGATGCTAAGCATTAGTTGGTAGCTGTTTACTTGAGATCCTAAAGCAATGCATCCTTTAAGTCCTTTCATTTACCCCCCTCACTTACTACTCTGACGCTCCTTGTCTACCACCTACCTTCGCTTTGCCACCACACACTCACCTGTCTGCTGTCACCGCCCTCCACCTGCTCCGGCCCCGTGGGGTGAAGATCACTTCCATTCGGCCTGTGCCTGGGGGATCTGACTGCTAGTCCTCACCCCCTAGCTTCTCTTTGTTCCTACACTGCAGTGGTATGAATTACCCAATTTATCTCTGTACCAATTTTTTTAAAAATGTGAGGCACAATAAATTATTTTTGGTGTTATAATAATAATGTGATTCAGTACAATAACCAGCAATTTATTTAACATTTCTCTGTGTGTGTTTTTCTGTTTAATACAGGAGGTCCAGCCTGGTCATAACAACTAAACTCTACTGGGGTGGAAAGTAAGTTAAATACCTTTTACTTTCCCTACTTGACTGAAAACAACTAGTAGTTTGTGCTTTTATTTTTATAGGCAACCATTTTACAGCTAATATGCCAAAATTAATTGGTTTAGAGAGAAAGGTGATTGTTTCTCACTTGAAGGAAACAGCAATTAGCCTAGGAGTCAATTTTAGGTAGATGATCCCAAAGAAATTCAGTGCAAAGCATGTGGTCACTGGCTACTAAGTGATTCATGGAGATTCTTCAAATACCAAACTCATACTTAGAACTGTTTCTAAAATAGAGTTCAAATTTTGGGAAAAGGAAATAAGCACATAGCATCACAGAAGAAAAGCTACTCAAATCTACCTAAATTCAGAGACTTCTATGGAATGCAAAGATAAAAATATCTTGTCTGGTCCCACATGCAAGTCTCTGATCATTTCTGCAGAGGGCTCTGAAAGTGCTGACCGAAAGGGACATCTTATCGGAGGATAATGCAAAGCTTCCTGTATCCCTCATTGCCAGGCCACATGAAAGAGAAGTCCTCTCTCTGGTGTGGGATGCAGAACAAATATCACTGGGTGAACTGCCTTCTGATGAACCTACTGGTGTTTGAACTGGTACTTACATCACCTAGCAGAACTTAGAAGTCGGCCTTTAAGACAAATATGTAAGAATTCAACAAGCTATTCCATATACCTTCTCGTGGAAATCTCAAAGATTTAATAAAAAACAAACACAAACAAATAAAACCTTGGTTACCTTCCTGTAATTGATAGAGAACAGTTAAAAAAAATTGGAGGCAGAGGCCAGTTTTTTATAAATCTTCTAATCAAAATGTATATGTGTACATACATATACACATACACATATTTTATTGCCATTTTGAGCTTGATAATGATGAATACAAAAACAAAAATGTAATTTAGATTTTTACTACTACTATAGCCTATATAAAAATAAAGCAACATGGCGACCGTGGGAAATGTAGACTACGTTGTCTGTGCTCTGATTTGTGGCGCTGTGGCTTGGTGCTTTTGCAGTGATGCTCAAAACTTTGCCTATCATTTGGAAATAATCAGGAAGTAAGACAATCTGCAAGAACCAATGTGTAGGAGAGCACTACATACAATATTATAATATACTTATAGAAGATGCAAAATCACCAAAGGCAAATGGTGCCTATGCTTATAAAAAAGGTCACCAAAGCTATTGATGTTGAAGAAACATTTCATCAATACTTGAAAATGCAGGGGCCACACCTCTTTCTAATTGGCCAGAGCTTGAGAATGGTCTGAAATGGCAAAATCCTGGTTAAAAGTTTGCCATCTTAGGAAACTAATTTAAGGATATTGCTTTATCACATTTTAAAAGACAATAGTTGTTCATTTCTTTTGAAAGTCAAAAGGCACTTTCAAATTTGCTTCCTTTCTCAGAAAAGCTAATGACATCATCAATGTGGCAAACTTATAATAAGCTCACAAACTTAATGTCAAGTATTTTACTGTATTTTACTTTATTTTATTTATTTGCTTGGGATTGGTAGGAACAAGGTGGGAAGGCCAAGCCATGTGTCAAATTGTATATGGACAGGGCGAGGTTGGCTGAGTTGCTATTACTTTGGTGTGGTGACAGACATGGTTAATTCATCGCCTGAGGTCTCCAAGGAAAAGGGGCTCAGGATGCTGCCCACCAGCCTTGTCTCCTCAGCGTGCAGTGGTGCAGAATTTTCCAAGAACAGGATATAAAATTAGCAATTCAGTCTAGAATCTAGAATGATTATTCTTCTGCACTTTTGAAACAGCGATGAAAAAAAGCACACCCTACTTAAAGTCATTTGCTTCTTTTTCTTGTTAGAGCTGAAACGGAAAGAGGGTTGTCAAGAAAACATATAATTGAAGGTAGGTACTGCTGCTTCATTTTACTTTCATCTGTGGGCTGCTGATTCAAGGAAGGTTATCAACCTAATAGGTTCAAAACACATTGGTGGTGGGGGGCGGGGAGGAGGAGAGGAATTCACTATAAAAAGAACTACAGTCAACCAAATTTCTTCCTGGGGTTGAATGTTGGTAGTGTAGTAATATAGAGGGGAAAAAGGGAAATTCAGAAAAAGGCCAAATTTTCTGGAATTCTTATCATTTACAGCTATGCTAACATTGATAAAACTTTTATAAGACTTTTAAAAAGAGTTTTATTTAGGTGTAATTTATAAACCATATAAGTTTACCCATTCAAAGTGTATGATTCATTGGTTCTGAGTATAATTAGAGTTGTGCGATCATCACCATAATTTGATTTTAAAACATTTTCATTTCCCCCAAAAGAAACCTTGTACCCACCAGTAGTCACTTCTCATCCCCTCCTTACTCTCTCTCCCACAGCCGGAAGCAACCACGTATCTATTTTTGTCTCTATAGATTTGTCATTTCTGGACATTTCATATAGATAAATGAGATCATACAGTATGTGTTGTTTTGTGACTGGCTTCTTTCACTTAACATAATGTTCACCCATGTTGTAGCATGTATCAATATTTTATTCCTTTTTATTGCTAAATAAAATTTCATGGTATGACTATACCATATTTTGTTTATCCATTCGTCAATTAGTGCCCATTTGGGTTGTTTTCACTTTTTGACTGCTACGTGAATGATGCTGTTGTAAACATTTGTATACAAGTTTTTGTGTGGACATATGTTAAGATTACTATACTTTTAAAAGATTACTATACTTTGAAAAAAATTTGTACAAAATTGCCATTGAGTGATTGATTCACAGTGCCATTGCTTTTGGGGTGGTACTCAAAATTTTGTATTTCTTAGAAATAAACAGGAACTAAAACAGTCTGCAAAAACAATTACATAGCAGAGAAATTTACTCGGAAGATTATGAGAATTGTTTGGAATTTTTATTTTTTCTTGTCTATATATTACAAAATTTTACACTTATACCTTTTGCAATAAAAAAAATGTTAAAAGGGGCTGCCGTATATTTCCAACATCTTTATACTAGTTCATGAACTATTTCATAAAAGTCCAAGATTTTATAACTTTAGATGCATAATTAATCATTCAGATGATTTTTATCTTTTTTAAAACTAATTTATGAAATAACCAAGTCACCAAAACTATAAAATATGCTCTAATCCTACCACTTCAAAAATAAAAGTAGATAAAGAAGCAGTCCTCTCTTTGTTCAGTTCCTCTTATTTCACAGTTTGACAACCTGATGCATATCTTTCCCTCCTTTTCCCTACAGTTATACTGACTTATCCATCTATACAACCTACTTATAAACACAAAAACAAATGTATTAAACCAATGGAAGTAAGCTATACATATTAACCTGAACTTTACTTTTTTCTCAATTAAAATAAATTTAGACACATATGTATACACATACACACATGATTTATGAGTTATTTCCATTTCTAGTACTATGTAAAGGATTGTGTAAGTGACCATTCTTATGTAAATGAGATAGGAAGTGGAAGTGGCACTGGTAAGTCAAAGAATAATACATATTTTAACACAAAATTATTTTCTTTTTTTCTTTTTTTGTTTATTCTATTATAGTTACCCCAATTTTTTCCCTTTACCCCATTCTGCCCAGCCCATTCCTCTTACCCACAGTCAATCCCTTCTCATTGTCCATGTCCATGAGTCATTCATACACATTGTTTGTCTATTCCCTTCCCCATCCTTCCACCATTCCCCGCCTCCCACCACCCTTCCTACAGCTATCAGTCTCTCCCATGTTTCCATGTCTCTGGTTCTGTTTTTCTCTTTAGTTTTGTTCCTTAGAAATTCAGCTATAAGTGAGGTCATATGGTATTTGTCTTTCACCAACTAGCTCATTTCAGTTATCATAACAGTCTCTAGTTCCATCCGTGCTGTCGCAAAAGGTAGGACTTCTTTCTTTCTGTTGCATAGTATTCCATTTTGTATATGTACCACAGTTTTTAATCCATTCATCTACTGATGGACACTGGGACCTGTTTCAACACTTAGCTATTTTAAGTAGCACTGCTATGAACATAGGGGTGCATAACTTTTTCTGAATTGGTGTTTCAGGATTCTTAGGGTATATTCCCAGCAGCAGAATCTCTGGGTCAAAAGGCAGTTCTATTTTTAGTTTTTCTGAAGAAATTCCATACTATTTTCCACAATGGCTACACCAGTCTGCATTCCCATCAATAGTGCACTAGGGTTCCCTTTTCTCCACAACCTCTCCTGCACTTGTTGTTTGTTGATTTATTAATGATGACCATTCTGACAGGTGTGAGGTGAAATCTCATTGTGGTTTTAATTTGCATCTCTCTGATGGCTAGTGATATTGAACATTTTTTCATATGTTTATGGGCCATTTGTATGACCTTCTTGGAGAAGTGTCTATTCTGGTCCTTTGCCCATTTTTTCATTGGGTTGTTTGTCTTCCTGGTGTTGAGGTGTATGAGTTCTTTATATATTTTGGAAATTAAACCCTTGTCTGATGTATCATTGGCAAATATGTTCTCCCATACAGCCAGTTCCTTTTTCATTTTGATAATGGTTTCTTTAGCCATGCAGAAACTTTTTATATTGAGGCAGTCCAATTTGTTTATTTTTTCCTTTATTTCCCTTGCCCTAGGAAATATATCAGCAAAAATATTGCTGTCTGGGATGTCTGAAATTTTAGTGTCTATGTTTTTCACTAGGACTTTTATGGTATCAGAACTTATATTTAAGCCCTTTATCCATTTTGAGTTTATTCTGGTGTATGGTATAAGTTGGTGGTCTAGTTTCATGTTTCTGCATGTACCAGTCCAGTTCTCCCAACACCATTTATTGAAGAGACTATTTTTATTCAATTGTATGTTTGTGTCCCCTTTGTCAAATATTAATTGACCATAGAGACATGGGCTTATTTCTGGGCTCTCTATTCCATTCCATTGATCTACGCTTCTGTTCTTATGCCAGTACCAGGCTGTCTTGATTATAGTGGTCTTGTAGTATAGTTTAATATCAGGTATTGTGACACCTCCAACTTTGTTCTTTCTCAGGATTGCTGAAGCTATTCAGGGTCTTCTTTGGTTCCATGTAAATTTTTGGAATATTTGTTCTAGATATGTGAAATATACCATTGGTATTTTAATAGGAATTGCATTGAATCCATAGATTGCTTTGGTAGTATGGACATTTTATTGATGTTAATTTTTCTAATCCATGGACACAGTATATGTATTAATCTGATGGATGAGCTAGTTTTATTTATTTGATTATTTATACATGTATTTATTTGTTCATATATTTGAGTTTATTTTCATAATTTTGTTTTTCTGGAAATTAACTCTTCATAATCTTAGGGTATTTTTCTTTTCTTTTTTATTGTGCACTGAAACACAACAAATGCAATTTATTGAAGTTTTACCTCAAGGCACATACATCTTCTCAGCACTTTGCAAAAAGGAAGTAACAGGAGGTAAATAAACAAAGTTGAGAATGACAGAAAGCAATCCAAGATAAAATGTGTTTTATGCAAAATATAGTCAATAGGGACTTAGTTTGGAAAGGTTACAATGAAGAGACTAAGTTTTTATTGAACTTGAATTTTCTTTTCACTTGCTTTATCTTATGTTGCAAATATTTTAAAAACAACAATTTATAAAATGAAAACACCAGTTAATCAGGGTCACTGATCATAATGCTGATTTTAGTTCGTTGTTTTTAAATGTGTTGTTTTCTTTTCTTTTTTAATCCTCACCCAAGAACATTTTAATTCACAGAGAAAGAGAAAGGGGGAGAGAGAGAGAGAGAGAGAGAGAGAGAGAGATGGATTGGTTGCCTCCTGGACACACCTGACCAGGGATCAAACCCATAACCTTTTGGTGCACAGGATGACAGTAGCTGCCTGGCCAGGATGAAATGTGTTGTTTTCTTTTATTTTTTTTTTTAGTATTTATTTTTAAATTTTTAAATCATGTTTATTCTATTACAGTTTTCTCATTTTTTTCCCTTTACCCCCCTCCACCCATCCCCCCCCCTACAGTCAATTCCCACTCTGTTGTCCATGTCCATGGGTCATTCATACATGTTCTTTGTTGAGTCCCTTCTCCTTCTTTCCACCATTGTCCTCTCTCCTCATCCCCTCTGGTCACTTTCAGTCTGCTCCATATTTCCTTGCCTGTGGTTTATTTTGTTCATTAGTTTATCTTGTTGAATAGATTCCACTTATAGGTGAGATTATATGGTACTTGTCTTTCACCAACCGGCTTATTTCCCTTAGCATAATATTCTCCAGTTCCATCCATGTTGTTGCAAAAGGTAGTTTCTTTCTTTCTTTCTTTCTTTCTTAAATGCACGTTGATTTTATTTATTTTTTTAAATGTCAAAGTCAATTATAAAATATTAAAAAATTTAAAACCATTATAAAGTCTCAGCAATTAAAACAACATGACATCAGCACAGAAATAATCAAGCAGATCAATGAAATATAATGAGCATTCTAGAAACAAATATATATAGCTGTCTAACAACGTAATATATGATTAAATTGATATTTCAAATCAATGGGGAAAATAAAGCTTATTCAACAAATAAGGTGCATGGACCACTATTACTTGAAATGAAATAAATATATAGTCCTATTTCACACATTATACAAGAAATAGTCAGGTGAGTTAAAAATCAATATGTAGAATCCAAGGAGTTGTAGGAGAAAATACAAACTAATATTTTTCTTACCCTGAAGTAAAATATTCAAACCCAAAATCTCTAAAGTAAAATATTGACAATATGACTATATTAAACATTTAAGACTACACAGTATATATTAAAAAAAGTTAAAGGACAAGTAATAGAATGGGAAAGTATTTGCCACACATCTAAAAAAGGGTTAATAGTTGTTGGATTTTTTTTAGGGA